AAAAGTATTTTATGCATGTAATTCACCTGTAAAAGCCCTGGATGTGATGTCAGCAGCCCCAGCAGACTTAGAGCTATCAATTAAGAGACACTCTATTCCCTTTCACACGGTCTGATTAGGAGGGGATTTATGCACAGATTCCTTCGTGATCGCATCGTTTTGGATCACTGTGACATCCATGTCTGTTAACTTTTTTTTCCTCCATCGCAGAAATTACCAGACCCCATGTCAGTCTATGGGGAATCGGAAGTAACGTGACCTTTTACATCAGATTACCCCCGATCAGGTCTGTCCAAAAAGAACGCTGTTCTGTTTGTTTTTCCAGACCTGGCCAAAGTCGGGTGTAAATGGACGCCCATCCGCTTACACATGGCTGCCCATAGACTATCATTGGGCATCCGATCTAGTCTTCCTGAAAAACGGATCAGACCACCCGTGTGAAAAGGACCCAAAAGATACTCTCGCATTAATGGTGATAAAGAGAGTTGAGGGGCTGGGCCAGCACAGACAGTTGTTAGATATTCCCAGAAGAGGAGAGGGGGTGGAGGAGGCTGTGCTAGGTAATCAACTCTTCCTGGACTGGTCAAATTCTCTAGCATGTTCAAAGACGTATTGCACAAGAATTAAAGAAAAAGGCAACAAGAAAGCATTTAAAATACTTCACTTTTTGGGCTTTTACGTGCATTTTAAGATGGTGATCTTTTAAGTGCAGCTATATTCAGAACTCTTTATTTAGTTTTGCATAGTGTGATGAAGGTTAGAACCTTTGTCAGGTTTTTATTGTTGTCTGTGTTCTTGTTGGGGAGTTCTCTTTTGACTTTGTGCCAGGACTGGATATGATGGAACCTCTCCAACAGGGTCATAGACCAACAATTTTAGCAGAGTGTAGAAGGGTTAAAATGTCCAACAATGTGTTTATTCCTGCCTGTGCTCTCTTGTCTCTGTGACAACCGCATTTCCGATTTCTTTTCATACATGTTTTTAGAAATTGAGGTTTTAATTTAAATACAAGATGGCAAAGCTGCTGATTGTTCCTCACTGGCATCGTGATTTTGATTGTGCATTGTCTGAGCCCGCTCTGCAGTTCTTTTAGATAGATTTACATTGGCCATCTTAAACCTACAAAAAGTAGCTATTATATACAGTAGTAATAGACTGCTAGATATCTCATGTGTTGTGGAGCTATGGCTGTTTTTTACATTGATTTGTAAATTAAGTATCTGTTTTACTTAAAGTATTGTTTTAAAATAGGTTTATTGTTTCATTAACATCTCAGAGGTAGAATAATATAGATAGATATCTTTCTAGAATTTTGTTTATATACCAGTGAAAGTCTATGCAGTGATCAAATTGCATAAAACGTATATGGTACAAGGAACATACTGTGTTGGAACATACTGTGTTGGAACATACTGTGTTGGAACATACTGTGTTGCATCACACACTGCATGGGCCACCAGATGGAGATTATTTGGCTGTTTGTTGGAAGCTTTATTTACATTTTTTTTAACCTATTGTGACTTGCTTTTATTAAACAAGGACAAGCTGAAAACTGATCAATAGCATTAAAAACCCTTCTTCCAGCTAAATAATGATCACAACAATATAAAAATACCTCTCTATATTTAGTAGCGAGAAAACACAATATACTGTATATTCAAAAAAAGATATATATGTGTGTATTGTGATGTTTTGGGACGTTAGCACACATGGTGAGCGCTTAATGACCAGTATTAAAACCCTGTTTACATAAAACAGCACAGTATTTTATTTTTTTTCCATAACAAAAACAGGTCCACTTGTATTTCAGCAAACAGAACATATTGCATAATCTCACCGACTCAAAATTATCGCACATACTCCATGTGTCCCAGTCCCTGGATGTTAGGGTTTACCCTAATAGAGCCCCAGTCCACAGCCGTTGCTCAATACTGTTTAGCATCCCTCAATAGCTTCTACACCTCTTGTGCGACTTGTACACACATACCTTGTGTGTCACAGGCTCTAAGCATCCTACACACAAAAGGCCACCTTGGTCCACTCTGACATCTGGGTGGAGTCCTCCTGACTCCTGAGCACCTGTTCCTCTTCCCCAGCTCGAGCCCTGAACATCAACCTGCACCCTTTCCATAAGGGCTGTGCACAGGTGTGCAATCACTAGGTGTTGGCCACTACTAATCCACGGAATTGTATCCCTCCCAACTCTCTTTTTTTGATATCTCCCAGTTCCAGGATCCCAAGCAGAATCCAGAAAACCTGGGGAGAACTACAAAGCCAGCTTTTTCCCAGTAAAATAACTTTCTTCTTGGAACCGCTCAGCCCCTCTGTGCATTCCCAAATACTTGCATGGGAATGCAAAATCAAAAGTCCCATGCGAACAGAAGCCTGTCAACACAGACCTTTACACACGGATGTTTGTGGATTCTCATTCTAGAGACTGTGTATTGGGATCCAAATAAGGCATCAAGTAAAAAATGACCACTTGGGGTTTCATTTGCTCTGGCCAGGTCTCTATGGGCATCAAAAACAGGAAAATTGTTTGGCATTTTTTATATCTTTTAGACACTCGACCCATCCAAACTGCTGAGCCTGACCGTGTGAACTGAAGTGCTCAGTACAAACAGTCACAATAGTTGAGCTGCATGCAACATTTGGGCTGCTTCACTGAGAGTATTGATCATGGCTGTAAAATGCTCTGCATCTGCAGCCTGTCACACTAACAGGGGTATTAACTTCTCCTGCCTCCTCCAAACTCTTCACTCTTTTGTGAATAACTCTGTAAATGCCTAGCCTAAAGATGGGTCAATTAGGTGGTTCTGCACAAAATTTGGTTTAAATAGCCTTGCGTTTTAAGGTTTGCATTTCTCCTCTTTTCCACTCCGATGTTTAATGCATGAAAATACAGTATATGCAAGTAAACCCAGCACTAGTAGTAGTACATGTCAAAATTTGGCAACATGTGTTCCGTCTTTTTTTCCCCCCACGCATTCTCGACCACGTTTGGGGTGTCATTACCTTGTAATGGCAACACAAGCGCATTCCGTGTTTGTGCACGTATCCTAAATGTCAAAGCATGCCCTTTTGTGCATGTTTAATGTGCATTCACGATCTGTCCTGACCCTTCAGTGTCCTTTTTGTCTTTTTTGTACACTAGAAATCAAATCATACTGTTTTTCCATTGTTTGCCTGCAATGTGTTATGGGTAGGTGCTAGGCTAAGATGATATTGCTTATTGCAGATATTTCAAAACAAGGACAAGCTGAAAACTGATCAATAGCATTAAAAACCCTTCTTCCAGCTAAATAATGATCACAACAATATAAAAATACCTCTCTATATTTAGTAGCGAGAAAACACAATATACTGTATATTCAAAAAAAGATATATATGTGTGTATTGTGATGTTTTGGGACGTTAGCACACATGGTGAGCGCTTAATGACCAGTATTAAAACCCTGTTTACATAAAACAGCACAGTATTTTATTTTTTTTCCATAACAAAAACAGGTCCACTTGTATTTCAGCAAACAGAACATATTGCATAATCTCACCGACTCAAAATTATCGCACATACTCCATGTGTCCCAGTCCCTGGATGTTAGGGTTTACCCTAATAGAGCCCCAGTCCACAGCCGTTGCTCAATACTGTTTAGCATCCCTCAATAGCTTCTACACCTCTTGTGCGACTTGTACACACATACCTTGTGTGTCACAGGCTCTAAGCATCCTACACACAAAAGGCCACCTTGGTCCACTCTGACATCTGGGTGGAGTCCTCCTGACTCCTGAGCACCTGTTCCTCTTCCCCAGCTCGAGCCCTGAACATCAACCTGCACCCTTTCCATAAGGGCTGTGCACAGGTGTGCAATCACTAGGTGTTGGCCACTACTAATCCACGGAATTGTATCCCTCCCAACTCTCTTTTTTTGATATCTCCCAGTTCCAGGATCCCAAGCAGAATCCAGAAAACCTGGGGAGAACTACAAAGCCAGCTTTTTCCCAGTAAAATAACTTTCTTCTTGGAACCGCTCAGCCCCTCTGTGCATTCCCAAATACTTGCATGGGAATGCAAAATCAAAAGTCCCATGCGAACAGAAGCCTGTCAACACAGACCTTTACACACGGATGTTTGTGGATTCTCATTCTAGAGACTGTGTATTGGGATCCAAATAAGGCATCAAGTAAAAAATGACCACTTGGGGTTTCATTTGCTCTGGCCAGGTCTCTATGGGCATCAAAAACAGGAAAATTGTTTGGCATTTTTTATATCTTTTAGACACTCGACCCATCCAAACTGCTGAGCCTGACCGTGTGAACTGAAGTGCTCAGTACAAACAGTCACAATAGTTGAGCTGCATGCAACATTTGGGCTGCTTCACTGAGAGTATTGATCATGGCTGTAAAATGCTCTGCATCTGCAGCCTGTCACACTAACAGGGGTATTAACTTCTCCTGCCTCCTCCAAACTCTTCACTCTTTTGTGAATAACTCTGTAAATGCCTAGCCTAAAGATGGGTCAATTAGGTGGTTCTGCACAAAATTTGGTTTAAATAGCCTTGCGTTTTAAGGTTTGCATTTCTCCTCTTTTCCACTCCGATGTTTAATGCATGAAAATACAGTATATGCAAGTAAACCCAGCACTAGTAGTAGTACATGTCAAAATTTGGCAACATGTGTTCCGTCTTTTTTTCCCCCCACGCATTCTCGACCACGTTTGGGGTGTCATTACCTTGTAATGGCAACACAAGCGCATTCCGTGTTTGTGCACGTATCCTAAATGTCAAAGCATGCCCTTTTGTGCATGTTTAATGTGCATTCACGATCTGTCCTGACCCTTCAGTGTCCTTTTTGTCTTTTTTGTACACTAGAAATCAAATCATACTGTTTTTCCATTGTTTGCCTGCAATGTGTTATGGGTAGGTGCTAGGCTAAGATGATATTGCTTATTGCAGATATTTCATTGATATCCATAAATCTCATTTCTTACTTATTTCTTTTAGGGGGCTGCGCTTAAATATCTGCCAACAATTGTAAATGATGTCAAACTTGTCTTTGATCCAAAAGAGTTAAGGTAAGCAGTCATTTAATCTTCATATTGAATGTCCCTTTCTTTCCATTCTCCAGTCAGCTACTGAAGTCTTATTCTAACAACGTTTTCACAACATTCACTTTATTACTTGTTAATGGGGTCAAGTCGGTGATCGATTTTGACCATAGAGACTAAAATACCAAAGGAGCATAATGGAAAATCTTACTGTGACATTCGTCAAGTCTCTGATGGCCTTATCGAATGTTCTAACAAGATTTTTTGTAAGAATGTTTGTACGAAAATGTACCACTGTATTGGCATCTGTATGGACTGTTTTTAAATAAAGAACATTGTTGGGGGGCCTGAGTGGCCAATTGCCATGCCCAAGCTCTGTCACTTGAGGGAAGGGGAAAATAAAACCCTGTGTAAGCTCAGTTAAGCAGATTTTTGCATTGCTTTGCATTAACAAAGCACATGTTTAACTTTAAGACCCAAGGTTGGACCCGGCATATAACAGTATTAATTAAGGCCTGTTCATTTGTGTCTGTTCTATCATTTGAAGTCATTTGTTTTACCATCTACTGCTGTCTACATAATGTTCTGTCTTCTACACTGTAAGCCACACACAAAGGCTGTTGTAGGTCATTGGGTATGATATTAATGAAAATGGATGTTGCATGAAACACTAAAAATAACATCAACACACAGATCAGGAGGTAGATGGGGTTGGCAGAGCTGTGCTTACTCATACACACACATGCATGTTTCGTGTTTGTATGTTTTAACTCTTGCCATATCTGCTTAATTGCCAAAATCTATATTCAGTAGTCTGGTATGCAGAAGTAATGTTGGCTCCATTTACCTTACAGAAGCACCATTCTCATTAGATCTTTCCTAAAAGTCAACCCTCAGACGCTATCCATTTGTAATTTCCTGTCCAGGGGACCTGACGCTTGTAGCTGCTTCACCTTCATCAGGGTGATTGGCTCCCTCATCGCCCCAGTGTCGTTCCCTTGGCTGTTTTACTGACATCATCACATCTATGTTAAAGGAACAGTGGGTGGTGCCAATCTAATTTAGCTGGAGCTTCCTGCCTGTCCTATTCTCTGCCCAGCTCTGCCCATTTTTCATCAGCTCCACCGACCCCATAGCTTCATCTAACCTTCGCCAGACCCACACATCAGATGACCTGCTCTCATTCAACACTGCCGTCCCAGTGCATGATGGGATGTATTGTCCTATGTGGCACTTAGAAATGCAGAGGAAATGATGCAGGTCGCCACAGTGTACCCCCCCTGCTTAGCCCAGCTATTTCAGTAAATGTCATTGATGACATCACAGTGTCATATTCCTTTTATACAGCGATTTTACTGTTAATAATAGAAAGCTTAGTAAAGTTCATATGGCTGTTATAAGAACATTTGTTTAAGTCCTCGGCCATATGACTCATACGATTGGCCCGGCACTGTCCTATGGAGGGTTTTATTGCTTTCTTTGTCACCATTGGTGATGTTTTTTATCACTTCCTATTGATTCACTGGAAGTAAGGTGAGTAGGGTTAGAACCCATGTTGGGTTTTTGTTGTTGTCTGTGCCCAACTCTTGGAACATGAAGCTTAAATACTAAAGTTATACACTGCCAGGCCTAAAAAAAAGTCACCACCTGGATTTCGGGCAGTGTTATGATCTGGTGTTGCTTCAGTTGGCCAGATCTAGGTTCAGCAATGTTATGTCCCCAAAAAATGAGGTCAGCTGCCTACCTGATTATAGTCCATGATCAGGCTTTTCCATCAATAGATTTTTTTTCTTCCCTGATGGCACATTGGGCATATTCCAAGATGACAATGCCAGGAGTCATTGGGCTCAAATTGTGAAAGAGTGGTTCAGGGAGCATGAGATGACATTTTCACACATGGAATGGCCACCAGAGTCAAGACGTTAACCACATTGAGAATCTTTGGGATGTGCTGGAGAAGACTTTACACAGTGGTCCAACTCTCCCATCATCACTACAAGATCTTGGTGAAAAATGAATGCAACTCTGGATTAAATTAAATGTTGTGACATTGCATAAGCTTATGGAAACAATGCCATGGCGAATTCATGCCGTAATCAAAACTAAACTGAAATATTAGAGTGTGTGACTTTTTTTTTTTTTTTCTGGGTCAGGCAGTGTATATTGTTAAAAAGATAGAAATACCATTCACTTCCAATTATTGACATGACAGCAACTTGGTTGAAACGTTCATAGAAAACTCCCAATAAAGCTGGATTATGCAGTGCAGTATCAGTGTTTTCAAGCCCTTAAAACAATATTTTTAGTGAGCTGGAGCTGCAGATATTCAGGCAACTCACAGGAAGAGCCTCAGCAATATATTGGTGAAAGGTATAACAATAAATATAAATGGCTTTCAGCTGTGTGTTGGCTAGAAGTATACTTGCATTCCTTTTTATATTTTGTTCCATTTATGTGAAACAATATTAAATACTTGCCCAAGAATGTTCTTAAAAACTCTTATACTTACCGGTATGCCAATTATGTAATGCTTGTTTATGTAAACATAATGCAATACAATAATCTGCTATGCGTCTCAATTAATCTGTCTCCATCGGCTTGTTTATTTTTGCAGCAAGTTGTTTACAGACTTCATCTTGAATGTTCCAAGAGATCGTCTTGTGCGACAGAAGCTCTATTGCCTTATTGAGATAATACACAGTGACCTTTTCAGCCAGCTTGGTAAGCAGCAGCTCCTGCCTGCATTTTCTATCCAATGCTTTTGTCTCCTACAATGAAATACCCGGCATGGAATATGATTAAAGAATTTTTATTGAATAGGGGAATCATACAGTTACAGGGTTTCTTCAAGGTTGCGCTCATCGTTAAAATGCAGCAGTGTTCGCACAACGTACGTGACTGAATTAATAGCATTTCTGTAAGCCTTTATTTTTCTGTCTGTGTGGGCAAACCTGTTGCCAGGCTTCACATAGATGCTTCAGATGTTTTATGTTACTCATTAATTACTGGGGGGTTGTTTTTTTTTTTATTAAGTGATGTGAGTGTAACACTTTTCTTTTTTTGGCCAAAATTCACATGAAAATGGATTTGTCCTTTCTAATGACATGAAGCAAAGTGCAACATTATCTTACAACCCATGGAAGATAGATTATTACATATTACTTATGTTACTGCACAGCTGTGCTTCTGTAATTAATGTAATATTGTGAAAGAGAAGGGTAAAGGAGGCAAATAATTTGTTTTCTTTTTCTTTTTTTTTTTATTCCGGCGAAGAAGGTTTTAGTATTCATTGGAAATGCTTGAAGGGAAATCTATTTTTTTTCCAGTTTATCATGCTTTTAAAATAAAATGCTTACTGTATCCCCAGTGCCCCCTCCCCATGTATCCTTCGGCGGTCCAGTGCTGCTAGTCTTCAGGGTTGATTAATGAGCAGCATCATCCAATCCACTCCCTTTGGGCCCAGCCTGTCATGGGCACAACACCAGGGGAGAGGCAGGGGTGGTGTCGCCCAGCTGGGGCTCAGAGTACAGAATGGTGTGCACTGCTCTGTTCTGGAGGTAGTACTGCTCACCCTCGGGGAAGAAGAGAAAGGGCCCATGACATCACCAGAACAGCCTGAACATTGCAGGAAAAAGCTATGTATAGGAGTTTTTGTAATATATAGAGGAGGGCATCAAGGAGCAGTGGGGAAGCTGGAGTTCCCCGTACCTCCTTGCTGTTTGACTGTTAATAGAAGCAGGCTGAGCTTTTCTTCAGCACCTCAGAACATTGTTGTTCCTCAATCTAAATTCCTTTAAAGAAAGTGGTCTGAGCTTAACTGAGAAAACTTAACCCCATTGTAAAGTCCACTTAAAGCTTTTCAAATTGAGTGTAAATTCACTAACTGTGAAGGGTGCAGTGTCCCCTGAACACAAGTACTGTGTGCAACCTAACATCGAGGAGCACGTGTCACAACATAGATGCAGCTGGGTTCATCAAATTAATTTAAAAAAATACAATGAAGCAGTGCTCCATTAATGTAAGACCCTTAGTTCACGTTCTGATGTGCTTCGCTCGATAGAGCTTCTTCTTTAGTGCCTACCCTGGAGTGGTGTATCAAGTTTGGTTGTCTCAGAAGTGGAAAGGTCTTGGATTACTTTAAGGAGGATGTGACAGTCCAACTGGATGGGAGTTGTATGAGGAGAATACTTATGGACCTTTTTGTATGAAAGGTCATGGGTCATGATGAGCGCCTGTCTTCGGGTTGGTGAGATTGTCTTCTAAAAAAAATGCTCATTGATAGTTTGTCACTGAATAGTGGCTTTGTAATCTTTCGGATGAGCGTATCTTTGTGCTTTTTGGCAGCTTTTAAAAAGAACTTGGTGATAAAAGAAAGTGTTGAGAGAATTTTTGTAGTAATATTTAGTAAGCAATCAACAATTTACTTGCCTGTCTATAGTAAAAAATGTAATTGGTATTATGATTTGTTGCACAAAATCTTGGTACTTTTTTTTTGAGTATGCCTTTTTGTTCTCTGCATTGATCACAGTTATTCATAAACAGATACACTATTCTGTAATTCAAACACGGCAGTTACAGAGAATATAGTTTCTGAGAGGAGTCGGGTTTTAGGAACATTGTCAGACGAATAGTCATTGCTAATGTTTATGGTAAACCTAGCACATGTTGTTGGCCGACAATTGAATACTTATCAGGTGACCACATAGCTGCAGCCAGTGCCCATGTGGCCCAAGGGGCAATTTAGAATGCCTAGAGAAAGATTTTTACTTTTAGTTGTTTTCCATTTATGTAGTGTAGACAACATTTTACATTACAAAGCACATCCCGCTCGAATATAGGGGGAAGAACTATCTTTATTTCCCCACAGTCTTGCATCTGATTCAAACTTTTGCTTGAAGATGGAATTTGTAAAGGCAGCCACTGATTGGTTTCAGGTCTGGAAATATTGACAGTTCCCAGTACTAACAACTATTTGTGAGGCCCCTGGGTTGCTAAGGGAATTAGTTTGTACATCATACAGAATTCCTGCTTTCAAGAAGTAAGAGATGCATGACAATATGCTTCCTCTGATCTGACTCTGCTCTGTCAATGGCTTCTATTGATATTCACTGCAGGTTATCTGGTCTATTGCATCACTCACAACTTCAGAATGCGCATGGAGCCACTTTTTATAGAGATTAATATTGTTCTCGGTGCTCATCGGTACGGTGTTAATTATTGTGAATTGGCAATAATCACATATGAACAGATGCACTGCTATTTATGGCTTTAATAATGTCATTAAGCATACCCTTCACAGGTAATGTGATGCAGATCTCATCCAACTGTTTAAGTTTGAAATGAAGGAGTAATAATGTAGGCTACTATGAGATTTCCCTTTCTTATCTGTCTGATAAGAGTTGAATCCGATAACTACAGGCACTCTATGACCTTGGCTGAAATGCATTGGATGGCTGGTTGTTGGCAAAGGAGTTTTTCAGATGATTTCTATTGTTGCAGCAGTAGGAGTGTCTGTTCCTATGCATACATTAAAGTATTATTAAAGGGGAGTGGCCGGGATGTGAGACTGAGCAGACGTGTCTCACTGCAGCTCCCAACATCCGTGCCACATCCTGACCCTTAGCTGGCTGACAAACCGGCCGAAATACTAACTGTGCTGAGGGTACATATACTCCTATAGGGAGCGGTGGGAGAGATGGGGTATTGTGTTATTTTTTTTTTTCTTTCCCCTTTTGCATTTTTGGTTTGTTCCCTCATGGACAGTTCGGACTGACTCGTAGTCATAGCCCGTGCATTGAGTACTGTGTTTTACTCTTAATACCTTACTAAGTTCTGGGATATAAAGCTGCTCTACTAGTTACATGGCCCCTAGACTTAAAAGCTTATATGAGGCTTGCTTTAGTTCTGATTCTTTGTCTCAAACTATGTATGATGCTCATGTGGTCTTAATGGCCAAACCGAACAAGGATCCTTTACTATGCTCCTCATATAGGCCCATCTCGCTCCTTAATATGGATCTTAAGATCCTCACGAAGGTACTGGCCACAAGATTATCTCATACTTCTAGCAAGCAGTCGATGTATGCCCCAACATTTGAACAAAAAAGTGAAGTAATAACCTATGTCTGCGCCGCTCGCTCCCGGCTGTAAAACACATCTTCCTGAACCGCTATGCAGGAGAAAGTGTGTGCGGGCACATGTGCACAAGATATCACTGGAGGGGAGAGGAGGAGTGTCCCAGTGTAAGTGAATGCAGGCAGCCGGGAGTGTGCACGCAGGACAGACTCAGTGGGACATGGGAAGACATAGGAGACTGCGCTGGATCAGAGAGTGGCACCAGTGCTGGAGTGGAAGGAAGAAGATTTTCACATCAAGAGGCATCACATAAGGTAAGTACTTAAAGCAACATCGGGGGGTCGATAAAAACAGCCTTTAATGTCACTTTAATGCATAGCCAAAATGATTGTCCATGCTTATGCCATGATCATTCTACAGAATGATCGATCAGAGATCAGAATTTACAACCACCGTTGGATGTCCTGGGTTAAGTTGGTTTGTTCATCTTTTTTTAAACTACAAGCCCTATGGTTTTGTGTTCTCATCGCCACTTGTAGTTATAGAACTTGCGTGCCTCTAGACAAATTTTTTGCTACCCTTTCAGCTCATTGAAGCAATTAACATAGCTTTTGTCTCATGTATACCTGCATGACTTTGGTATGTCCTACAGTAAAGCTAAGAAAATTAGATAATTTATGGCTTATTCTCCAAAGATATTCTAAAATGGCCTGGTCAGATTTGTTGGTACCTCCTAGAAAAGATTATAAGTTACTGGATCATACTCCCAATTACTGGGCATGGGTCTAGAGTCCTGGGGCTGCACACAGGCATTGCTTTGAAGATTATCACAGGTACATGATCAGTATTGTTAGATTGGATCTGACAGGTTCACATTAGGTATACTTATTTGTTGATTATCCGGTCTCCTAGAGTGTAACAACCTTATTGTGTTCAGAATGCAGAGACATCCTCCTTCCCATGATGACCGATCAGCTCAAGTATCACTTGGAGAGACAGGAGGAACTGGAGGCCTGTTGTCAGCTGCTGAGCAACATCTTGGAAGTGCTTTACAGAAAAGATGTGGTTAGTAATTAAATGTACTATTCTGCATTATATTCTTGCTCTTTGGAATATTGAAAAGGGAAGTGTTGTCTTTAATATGCAAGTATTCATTACCAACATGTTTTGAAAGGTGCAAGCTCTAGTGGTGGTCTCCATGTCTTTTACCTGATGAGTAAGGCCAGGTTCACACCTATGCGGCATTGTTTGTGCGCGTTTATACACACATGTTCAACATGAGGTTATTTGCACGTTTTGCCCATTTTGACACTCGTTTGTACGCGCGTTTGTGAAGACGCACATTTTGACTGACGGCTTAAGAAACATTGCAAGCAATAGACGAACGCGCATACAAACGCACAAAAATGTGCACGACAAATGTACAACATGCTTCTGCTGCGCGGTTTTGGTGCTTCCATTGAGGTATAGGGCAAAAACGCGCGGTTAACTGCCCAAAGAAGCTCATGTACCTCTTTGGGCATTTGGCATTTTGCTGCTTAGGTGTGAACAGGGGCCATTAAAAATCTTGGGATTTGTTGTGTTGGGTGTTTAAAAGTGCCTTTCCAACTGCTCAAAAACACCTAGGTGTGAACCAGACCTTAGAAGCTGGTAGATGTGTGTACATCTCATATGACCAATATGCCACTGCCTGCATGCTGCTTCTGGGTCAATAACTCACTCTGTAAGTTTATTTTTTTTTTAAACATCCCTTTCATAGTGCACAGTGCATTCCTGACCATGCCCCCGATTATTTATTTTGTTTTAATATGTACTGCTGCCTGAAGAATTTTCTGCATCTGACAATTTGGGGGAGTGTTGGATGCTTTCTCCCCCACTGCACTCTGTGCTTTGTCCTGCCACCCAAACATCCCCCCCAACGTCAATATTGGACACCATATGAAGTTTCATTGCTGTTTCATTTCCACTGCGGGGCGATTAATCGTCAATATTTATCCAGGTGCCCATTGGGAAAAATAAAATCATTTTTTAATTATCAGAAGAACAAGGTGTCAGGATAGGTTTTACAATGCGGACACCTGACAGCTGTATAAGAGAAGAATTCCTCTCACTTTTCAGGGAATTTTCTCTTACTTCCTGTTGTATCTCTGGAGCAGGCAGTGGAGGATAATCTCTCATCAACCCCCCCGCCCCCCGAACTGTGCACAGATAACAAAAAATAAACTGACAAAAATAAACCTTCTTTTCTAACAACTGGAAATACTTCAAATTACTTGTCTCTGTTATAGTTTGTAGTTCTGTACATTGGAGCAGCCATATTATGTTTACTGATTTGATATATACAGACTCTGCTTCCTCTTAGTCTTACTAAACAGTGCTATCTAATGAAAACAAAACATTAGATTCTAAATATTCTGCAGTTTCTAACGACTTGTAACCCCCCAAAAATGCTTCTGTTAGCATGAAATCATGTGATCAAGGCTGTCTAGGCTTTTGGTCACATGAGAGAGCTTTGCATTTATATGTGTGCATATTTGTCATACATCTGAGTAAGATTTTTATCAAATATTTTAACCTGCTATATATGCTTCTGAATGCATAAATTAATTTTTGCTAAAACAATAGGTATTAAACTACATAGATTAAAATGACCGTTTAATTCTACAAATGTAAATATTTCTAGGTAGGTTTTCAGTCTAATAACACAAAATTATTATTTTTTTGCATTTGATTTAACAATGGTAAAATATTTTCTGATAAAGCAAATTAAATTAGGACTATCAACTACTTAGCGTGGGTAGCTTTAAGTTAGATAATTTTTAATTTCTTCTTTTTTTTTACATATACCTGTTAATTTTGCCTGAAATCTTGTGAGCTTAAAACTTCCAGTGTAGACTGGCCTGACACTGCGTGCTGTGGAAATCAGAGCCAACAATGCACTGTGTTGTCATGTAAAAGAGGAAGGTAGAGGCACACTATATTTCTGGCACATCAGTTTTTTTGATTTTTTTTTTTATAATAAAGGAATAAATAATGGGACCATGCATGTATTGCAGAGATGTACAATATTATGTTTTAATTTTTTTTAATTATTATTTTCTCTTACCATGCATTGTTGATTTACTATTTTTATTTATTGTATAGGGACCAACGCAACGTCATGTTCAGATCATCATGGAAAAACTTCTGAGAACAGTAAACCGTACTGTAATATCTATGGGAAGAGATTCGGAACTCATTGTAAGTGGCTCTTTTTATTTATGAAACTCTCTAATGGTTACAGCCAAACTTAAACAAAAAAAAAAAATTACACACCTTACTGGGTGTGTAAATTATCATTAAACAGCTGTATGTTGTGTGGAATGCTGTTTCAAGGTAAAAAAAATAAAAAATCTTACCATACAGCATGCTGTCTCGTACACATAACACTGTTCTTCTGGGCACTGAGGGGAGTGGGGAATGCAACTCGAGCATTGAAGTGCTCCAGTCGCCTCACCCACCCCTCCTCACTACTTGCCCATTCACAAAATGCCTTGCATTTTTTCAAAGAATGCAAGGCATTCTGTGATTGGAGAGAAGGGGGCGGGGATGTGATACCATATCTCCTCTTATCAAAAAATGCCTTGTATTCTTTAAAAAAAATACAAGGCATTTTATAAATGGGCAAATAGGGAGATTGAACAGATAATGCGACCAGAGCACTTTACTGCTGGAGTTGCATCACTCACTCCCCGCAGTGCCCAGAAGAACGGCGTCATATGTAGAAGCCGGTATGCTGCAAGGTAGGCTTTTTATACTTTTCAGCGCCCCACCATGCGTAGCATTACAGTGCGGTGTGAAAATTATCATTTTTTTCCTGGAGTTTGGCTTTAAATTTGCTGACACAAACAAGGCTAAATCCACAATGTTCTACAAGCTTCCATTCAGCTTCACTGGTAAAATAGTTGGTGACTGACAGGGGGCTTGTACCGCCTACAGTCAGAAGCAGTTCATTTACAGTGGTTTTCATACCCAGTAGTTGCTGGATGCTCTCTAGCACTCTCAACCTTTAAAGTGACACTAAACTCAGGAGTTAAACTTTCAAAAATATTATTTATTATTATTAAAATGCATTCAGATACCTTACCTATTAAGAAAAATGCATCTTATTTGTGTATCACTCGGCTGTAGATCCTCAAATCATCTCTGAATTGGTGCCGACACTGTCCTTCCTTCTGTAGGGTGGCTATTTTTGTTCCCTGTGTGTGTTGTAAAGTAGTCACCGCTCCAAGCTCACTCCTGTGATAGACTATAATCGCACGTTTAGTTTACTAATATGCATTCAGATTGTAGTCCATCCCGGGAGCGGGCTTGGAGCGGTGGCTGCTTTGCAACATACACAGGGACCATGGGGAACAAAAGTAGTCACCCTCCAGAAGGTTAGGACAGTGTCAGCACCAATTCAGAGATGATTTGATGATCTACAGCCGAGTGATACACAAATAAGATACATTTGTGTTAATAGTGAAGGTACTTGAATGTATTTCTAAGATTTATCTCCTGAGTTTAGTGTCACTTAAAAGCTCTATTGAAGCTTTATCAACTATTACTGTAATGCAGCCAGCCAGTAACAATTAAGGGATCATTTTTTAGTTAACATCTAGAAGTATGCCTGAGAGTCAGATCACTGCGCTACGCGGAGTTCAGTGGTCTGGGCCTCTAGTGGTCTGACACCCCCCACCCAGTGCTCTAATCAAAAAGTGCTCACACTTCCATTGATTGGAGCACTGGGAACCTGGATGGCTGAGATCTGTGTTAAGAAGTAGTGTGACTCTCCAGCGTGCTGCTGGCACATGTTATTTTAATCTTTGTTTCAGCAAATAGCACCGTTAAACTAAAAAATAATCCCCCACTTATTACAGTGTATGTCTGGCTGAATTGCAGTGATCATTTACATAGTGTCAGTTGGGCTTTAAGACATTACAGCTAATTTTAGGACCCCAGAGGACTGTGAGTTATCTCTAGCAAATTATCACCTATCACATTTAATTTCCTCTTTTGTAAGCTGTTAGAACAAAAAAAACATACAAATGTATAATCTGCTTGTGTGTTCTTTGCCACACAGACGTACTCTCTCCTCCAGGTATTGCATTGTTGGAGATCCCTCAGCGCTTATAACTCACCATACCGAGTCTCAATATTTAGTACCTGCTTGCGTAATATTAATTAGGGTGTTCGTCTGCATAATTGGCTAATGCGTTTATTGTTAAGTGCTGAAGTTTATTACACGCGGTAAATCAATTGTCTGGTCTTAATGGTCCTCCTGCGATCTTGACACAGCACTTGTTAGGGTAAAATAGCCTGGCACCTGTGAGTCCCAAAAACTGGACTGATCCAATTATTGTTTACAGTTCTTGGTTCACTGAGCATTGGCACATGCAAAATCGTTTAAAGTGGCAGTGTCTCTGCAAGGGGCCCCCCACCAACCCCCTTATACTAACCTTGCTTGGGCTAGCTTACTGTTCCTTCAGCGCAACCAGCACTGAAATCAGAGTTGTCTGCAACATGAGGGGGCAGTGAAATCACGCCCTCGGCCGGAGGCCCAAGCACTCTCACAGGAGAGCAGGGCCTGAAAGTGCCAGGTAGTGTTTTCAGCGGCGAGTGAGGAAGTGCAGCTAAGGTGAATTTAAGTGGGTCGGGGGAACGGTGCCTTTTGGCGTTTACTTTGCCCTGCTTGGCCAAAGGTGACAGTGTCTCTTTAACAAACAAGAGCCAGGCTTGCACATATGGGTCCATGCATTAAATATTTACTGGGGTTGGTAAAAACGGTAGTTTTCCTGTCCAAAGGTAAGATACTTTATATTTCTTGGATGCCTTGTTCTATTTGTTTCAAAGAATAGCTATTACAGAACAGTAGATTGTTTGTTTTGATTTCATGCCTACTTTTACATTCTGTTACTTGTGAAACATTTATAAGGCTAGAAATATCTCGCCTCAAGGTTTTCTCTGGCATTCGGCATACTTTGTGTTGGTAATCTATCTAAACATGGTTTTATGTTTTGAAATATATATTTGTTTTAATGGTGTTACGTTTTTCCTAAAACACTCTCTGTCATACTACTCGAGGACAGTTGCATACACTTTAGACTCCAAGATATTGTTTAATATTTTTATTACTTAATACAAATTTCTGTAGAAAATAAATGCAGCTTACTTACCTTTTTTAAATATGAAGGTGCAGAAAATGTCTCTTAAGATACACATACAAATCATCTATGGCATTTTAAAATAATCATCTTTTAACAGTACGTCTGAATGATGATTGATAGTAATTGTTTTTTGTTTTTGTTTTTTTCGGCGAGGTGTGGTTGTTTGTGAGAAAAAAAATGCAACCTGTAATATCAAACCGAAATCTGTTTAATTTTTATATACTATTCTACTAGTGTATTCATAATTTATGGGCAATACTTTATTTGGGGACTTAAAAACATTTTTTTAATTGTGCAATATAAACATATGTATCTTTAATTAAAAAACATTAAAAAATACAGTAGCATTTTTTTCAACCCCCACCCATCAAGTGAAACAATTGCACTTCCTTCTTGGCACATAACCACTATTCCTTTTACACATACTAGTTTGATACACAAAAATAATTTAATATTTTTTATGTACAATTTTAGTAGCCCTATTAAGCAAGTCTGACATATCCAATAAAGCATTTTTTTTTACCTGGGCATAATTACAGTTTTGTACAATATTAATGAAAAATGCACAATCCTTACACTGGCTTCAAATTATCACATAGTGATAGAAAAAAAAAGCACCTTCTACACCATAGCTTTTTACTTTGCCACCCGCCTAGCTGTATTTTAAATTTGTATCTCAGCTTTCTAAATATAAACCTTTTTAGCATCTTCACCTTTTCATACATCATTTTTTACAAAATTGTTTACGCTTTACATTCTAAAATTTTGTTTGGGTATTACAACCTAGCACATAGTGTTTATATTCCAGGTTGAAACATTGAAATTATCTTCCAGTTACAGATTAAACGCTTGAAAATATAAAACAGTGCTTGCCACATGATGTGTCTTCAATTTCCTTTATGGGCATTTGAAGATATTATAAATGATTTGTATACTAGATGGATCATTTCCAAATGTAGCCATTAGTTCTCTATATTCCATTGTTTTTTTTGCCATTTCAGTGTTAGTGGTCTTTTAACTTGACTTTGTATGGTAAACTATTTATATTCTTTGTAAGTGAAATTGTGTTGCTAGATGACCTAATGGTTTAAACATTGCATACCTGTATACAGCTACAATTATTTATCAATATAAGCAAAAAATATCTATTTTATTTGTTTTATGAAGCTCTCTGGGAGGCAGGCATTTTCAGAAATGCTGCAGGGAAAATTAAAGTCCAAAGCGGCAAATAAACTCCGCCATAAGGCATATTGCAGTTATTTGAAATTGCTAAAGAGGTTACACAAACTTCCTTCTAGATTTTTTTTTTCTTTTTTTTTGTTTAAGACTTTTAAATAAATGTTAGCCATGTGATCTATTGCAAAACATATTTTTGTATTGGGGGCATATAACAGTTGCATTATTACTTATCTTCTATCTTCTACATATTTTTTTCAAAACAATGATTACAATCAACTCTTAGATTGCAAAGTTTTTGCTAAGAAGAGAAACAACTTATCATTGAACACTGTATTATTTAAATATTAGGGTTATTTTAAATTGCTTTAATTTCAAATGAGCTAAAATAGCAATATACATAACTTTTTAATTTGGTTTGAACTAACTGACCTAGAATAATGTAAATTACATTTCTCTAAATCATAACATTTAAAAAAAAATGTGTAACTCTGTATGACCTATTGTAACAAAACATAGTGCCAAATTAAGAATAAATAATTACATAAATAAATCTTGGCTTCATACATGATGGTATGGCATGGCATTTGAAACTTTAGAATACAAAACATAATTTCAAGACCAACAATATTCCAACTCCAGTTATGAAACTTTAGTTAGAACTTCAATATATATTTTTAATAGTTTGGGTGTTTTTTTGGGGTACGAAAACATTCGAAATTTGATCTAAGAAAACAGTGTCCCATAGCCTTGACCCTGTCAACGAACAATGAGATTAAAGGCATGTTCTGACTTTGGGATATGACTGGCTTTTTGCACTCGCTCAAATTCAATGTCTTCTCGAGAACATTAAAATTAGCATGAGAATGACTGAAATCAATTATTCGGTAGCACGGGAAGGCAAATACACACACTTAGTCACATCTGTGAGATTTTCACTGGTCTCAGACCACTTGAAAATTTGTGCTTTCTCCGGATTTTGATGTGCTGAGAATTGCACATATCCCCTGCTTGGATTTCACAAGAAAAATGTAAAATGAAAGACCCCTTATACTGTAAGGCTATAATCTTTCTTCTTATATTAATTTTTTTTTTTTAAACATAAAGGCTTTAGAATCCGGAAGCAAATTATATCTGTTGCTTATGCTGAACCGATATGAAAAAAGGGAAGAAATTCAAAATTCCAACCATTTTTTTTTCTTCGCATTGGTAATTCAGATTTTAAATCCAGATTTTGTATCCCAGAAACTGAAATGCTATTAAAAGTTGACATGTTGTGATTTTTTTTAAATTATTATTTTATACCTTGCTCCTGCGAGTTGAGTTGCAAGTATAAAGGCCTTTTTGGTACGCACAGTAGGTATCTGCATACTGCCCAACCATTTTGCTTCTTGATAACATCAAGCTAACAAGATCCCTTTTTGAGTGAACTGTTGGATTTCACACGTGTGCCTAAGATGGCCCGAGGCTCAGTATTCAGCAGACTTCGCTAAAGAAACCAGAGTTTCCATCTTCCGTGTTTTTTAGATTCTGTTTTGGATTTTTGCTTGGGAGTTGATGTGTAACTCTCTGCAGGATAAGGCAAAGGTGCAACCTGAGTTTCCTCAAAGGGATGAAGTTTTTTCAACACTGGTTGGAGTTTGTCTTCTTGCTGTTTAAAATCCAGTTCAACACTGAAATGGAAAAGACATTGGAAGTTATTTTCTTTTGTATTGATTACAGTAACATTTCAATTTAGAGAAGACAAAGAATATATAATGATATATAATATATGTTTGTGCTTACCATAATTCACCAGTACATGGGGTCTTCTCTAAGTGACTTTAAAAACAAAGTAACAAATCAAAGGTGGGTTTGTATCTACTGTAAACTCCCAGTTATTCGGTACCCATGGGGATTGATAGATGCCAGATAACTGTAGCTTAATTGTTTACATTCACTTGCCAGCTACGGAAACTAGCCGTTGGCAGAAGCAAGATGGAAACAGAGAATTTAATTAGCAACTAAACATATATTTGCTAATATAACGTGTTTGTGTGCACATGTCTGTGAAGCAACTGGCAACCAAAAATTGAGGACATATTTATGCCCTCAATTTTTATTTTTTTTCTGCTTGCGTGAGAGTTCTGGTTGCTTGAATTCTGGATAATGGGGAGTTTGCGGTATTTACTGCAAAAACTAAGGTAAGCATTTGCTCCTTCCTCATTTTCTAATTTTATTTGAAAGCGTATTTCCACTTTTACAGACAAATTGTGAAAAGTGTCTACTTTGTTTGTTACACGTTCCCATTCACATAGCATCACTTAATTATTATTTTTTAATGTTTTTAAAAATTATTTTTTTGGTATATGATATTAATGGGAAAACAAAACAAACATAGTTGGGGTTCTCAAATTTGACTGCACCTGGAAATACACTTTCAAATAAAATTAGAAAATGATTAGGGAGCAAACGCTTATCATAGTTATTGCATTAAAAAGTTGCAAACCCATCTTTTGATTTGTGACTTAATTTTGAAAGTCATTTCGAGAGGACCTCCATGTATGGACTGGTGTATTATGGTAAACGCAATATATACAGTATTAGTTGATGCTTTTTTTGGGGAGGGGGCTAGAGGAGGGAAGGGTTCAAACCCATGTCAATTGTATGCTGTCTGCACCCCACTGGTGAGATTCCTCTCACTGCTTATCCTGGAGATGAATGAGGAAATGAGAGGAGATCTCTATAAAGTGAAGGGAATTACCCTTTTAGACGTTGCCATATCGGGCATCACCATGAGAAGATTTACTCTCGCCTCTTGTTTTGGTGACAATGCTAACATTTTGTATTTACCATTACTTTCTTTCTTGGTGAACAATAATCTACAGGACAAATAGAGAGGTGAATCTCCCTAGCAGGGACGGAGACTAAAATAATCACCTAATAGAAGTTCTAATACCTCCTCACTCCTACCGAAAGCTACTAAAAAACGTGTTGTTTATATATCCCTTTAAATCTAACATCAGCCATTTGTTTTTTGTTTTGGATGGATTGGAGAAGATTACAAATTTCTGTAGAGATAATTGTATAGACCAGCCAATATCTTCTCAAATGCACCACATCTCTAATATGAATATCAAGAAAATCACTATAAATACAGAGATGTATAAAATCAGCACTGATGTCCACAATATTTCCCACATTTTGTTAAAGAAGTGGTTAATGGTAACTGAAATGTTTTGGAATTTCCACTTTACCCCACCAGATGACTCAGTAATATAACAAAGATATCACAGAGTTATAATGTGAAAAGCTGACTGGTGAGGTCAGTAGGTTGGCTGGTATGTGGGACGTGTGTCTTCCAGATAGGAACAAAAGTCCAAGTTTTTATGACGTTGTTTTTAAGAATCTATTTTGTGTATAATAAAATTGAGACAATTTTATACAAAACATAAAATCTGTCTGTGTGAATCCACTTTAAGCAGCACCTGAAAAGACTCAAGCTTCTATTTTGAAATTTCTAAACATTTCTGTAGTCACCATGAAAAAAATGGATGGCCCAGAATAGCGATAAAACATGTTGTCAGAGTTTCTTACCCTTCCCCACTCTACTAAAAAAAGTTTTTTTGTGGCTTTGTTCCTGTATTTCCATAACTTAGGGATTATTACAGGAAAAGTAGATGGAAGCACTGTGTATCTTAACCTCTTGTTTTTAATTATTATTAATAAAATAGTTGTTTTTGCTTGTTTTTCATTCTTTGTTGCATCTTATTGCTGCTGGTCTCCTGCAGTATGTTTCTAACCATTTTCATGTCTACATGCACTGCAGGGATGGCTGTTTTCCTGAGGTGGACCATACCTTTTCCAACAGTGGAAAATACCTTAATAATGTGTAAAAAGGCCTTTTGAAGTCTCCATGGTATTACCATGTAAAAGGATTTCCAAAGTAGAAGCACAGCTGGGAGGCAGGCAGAGAGCATTGTCGCCCTATAACAGGGAGTGCCTGGACATTGAACTCCATAGCAGGATCGCCAGGGATTACTCAAAGCTGCAGATTGAAAGTATACGTGCATCAACTAATAGAAAGTCGAAAGAAAGCGCTTTCGAAAATCGACTAGTGTATGGCCGCCTTTACACTTTATATTCCTCTCAGTACAGGGCTTCCTTTAAGAAAAATAAAGTGGTTGCTAGATTTAAAGTCTCTTTTTAAAGGTTGTCAGACCAGCATACACCGCTCCATTTTGAGCTTTAACATTTAATGTAGTTTTGAGGAATCGTGTTGAAAGTGTACACATTTCTTTTGACATTCAATTCTCAGTAATTGCGGCACACGGTTCTGATCGTTCTCTTAAACGTGAGATCAAAAGTACAGCTTTCTGCCTGCCATTGCTGAACACACCGATTTGAAAAAGAAAGGAACAAATGGAAAAATAGACGCTGTCTTTTAAAATGTTCCAGTGCAACATATGCTCCTGTTCTCAGTATGGAATCACAGATGATAGCCATAAGGGGAAAACAATACAATGTGAGGTAAAGCAGAACTCTAGGCAAAAATCTGCTACTTGGTGATTTACAGGGTACATGGACTGTACGTTTCTCTAGGGCTGGAATGGATGCAGATAATTTGGTTGGAACCCAGTAAACATAGCAGTATGTCCGTAGATTCAAAGAGAAAACCTGAGCATGTGGAGAGAATCAACAGCAATACAGGAAGAGCAAACAAAGTTCAAACGATTTATATGGTTTCCTTAGTGGCAGTTAAAGCTGAACTCCAGGTAGATATAAAAAGACAAATGAAGTACCCGAATTTGGTATCAGTCCCTTGCTGTCCCTGTACAGCAGAGCTTAGACAGTGACCAGGAGAAGGAGAAAATTGGTTGTACAGCAGTGCTCAAGTACTAGCAGATAGCATTCTAATAGGAGGAGAGAGCAGAGTGGCAAAGAGATGAGCTCATCAGTCTTCTGCTTCTCCTTTCATTTCCTACTCACAGGCAGAAGGCAGGACTATCTATACAAAGGACCATGGTTGCCATTCAGGCTGGACATGTCTGTCAACAGAGGTTACATTGTTTTTGCGTCCAGTTCATCTCACAGGAAGTGAGAAATATATTATATTTCCGGTAATGGGTATTTTCTGTACTCGATGAGAAATTAAAACGGATGCAGCCACCACATCTAAGGATTATTAAGCTGCAATGTTTTATTTTTTTTTGTTGGGTACTTTAACTGCAGCAGAGTAAAATCAGGCCTCCTGCCCTGGCAAACAGGGCTGTTATGTGTAAGGGAGCTGTGGTAATCTAAAGACTGGATGTACAGAAGTCCAATCCTTTAGCAGGTAAATCTGTGTGTGTGTGTGAATTCAGCGGTTTTCCTGGCATTTACGTAGGTTACGGTAATGTCAAAGGTCCAATGCCAGTGGGGGCTATACTGGAATAAATGTAAATTGAATGGTGATACTCAGCAGGCAGGGGGGGTAAATTGGGCAGCTGCACTTTTAAGCCGGTTATACGCCAGTAGATTTTTGTTTAAAAAAAAGAAGAAAAATAGTTCATTCAATTTACTAATTGTTAATGTGGTCAGATCGACAGTCTTTTTCTACTGCAGTGACAAAACAAAAAAAAATGGAACAGGTTGCAGTTTTTTCTCTCAAAGGAACTAAATTCTACCAGTGAATATGGTTTTAGTTCGATAATTTCCATGTATTCCAAAATCAAATGTTAAAATCAAACAAAATTCTGAATGACGTTCTTCAAGTCTCTAATGGCATTATCAAATGTTCTGACAAGATCGGTGTCCTCTCGTCTAATAAGCAGTGTACTATGACCAGAGGATCCTTTGACTGCTGCAGCGGAGGGGTAGCACGGATTGAAGGACCGTTGTAAGAGTATGCTATCTCTGAGGATCAGGTGAGTAACTTTTTTATTTTAGTCCCTAGACACACACAAGCAGTTAACCCTTGCAGTGTGGGGGTAGCTCCACTGCAAGGGATAAGAAAAATGCTGCCAGGTGCTCTTTTTTAAGAGTTAAGGTGCCCAAACACCTGCCGATTTATCGTACAATCGTGGGAAATCCCACGATCGTACGATTATCGGCAGGTGTATAGAAGGCGTGCGACCGTTTCTACTGTACGGTCGCACGTCTTTTGTCTTATGAGCATGTTTGAAAACCAGTCGAAAATCGTACGATTTTCGTCGGGTTCGTGGCCTGCTCACAAGACAAATGCCGCACGGACCGGTGTGCGCAAGCACACACTGCCCGTTCAGCATTGCAGTCATCGGAAAACTCGCCCCTCAGCGGGGCTGGCTTGCGATGATCGCAAGTGCGATCTGCCTGTCCAAGATGGGCAGATCGTACATTTTTTAATTACCTTACAACCCTCGCAAGACGAAAGTGTATGGTCCGCTTTAATAAAATTATATTTGTGTTGATCAGTGCCAACACGTTTCGGGGGCAAACGCAACCCCCTCCCTCAGGGCTTAGAAACAATGTGACTAATGGAATCTACTCCAGCAAAAAAAAAAAAGTCAGAATTGGGATCTTATTGCAGCTGTGGGTTATTCTGCCAAAATTTGTAGATTGCAGCCAGATTGATGAGCACTGACCGCTGTATCCGTTAAATCTCTTCCTCTGTAAAAAATAAAATAAAATTGTGTATCTTTATGCAGAGTGTGCGTATCTTGTAATAAACTGATCAGAGTAAGAAAAAAAAAAAGACATGTCCTACGCCAGTATGTTTATGGACTCTCCTAACGAGCCATTCTTGGTCTAATGACTTGGGCTCTAACAGCTGCCTTGGTAATTCAGCAAAGGTTGCATATTATTGATCTGGAATTTTATTTATCTATCCACTATCCACAGAATAATTACACCTACAATGTTCTAACCGGGTACTTTGTGTGCCCTGCTAAGAAAGATGTAATTAAGAGGTTTAGATATTTATTATTTTTTTTTAGGCTTTATAATGTGCTAATTAGAATTTTAAAGTAAAAAAAAAAGCGCAGTGTGTCATTTCAGATCTGTTCACATAAGTTATTGGTCTTCTGTGTAGTTGGACACATAACAAACGTACTCACTGACATTAGAGAAATAAGGAAGTAGCAATGGCTTAAGGGCAGGTTCACACCATTTTCCGTACCAGATCTGGTTCCGAAAATGGTGTGAACCTGCCCGCAGTTCCAGTTCATTTCAGACAAGACAAAATGAGACATGCAGTATGTTTCTGGTCGGGTCTGGTCTGGTCTGGAACGGACTGCGCTGCTGTGAACAGAGGCCACAAATAGCATAGGGATACATTAGGATGCATTTTGGGTCCGGAAACAATCTTGTCTGGAGATGATCTGGGTGTGGTATGAATGGGCCCTAAAGGAGAGGTTTTCTGACTGGTTGCCATAAATATTGCATATTGCTTTAGTAAAGAGGTGTTCTAGAAATCCAGTCTTATTTAAAACAGGTCAATTATTTCAGGGCAGTGATGTTTAGATCTCTAAATATAATCTATTAACAATTTGTAATATGAACTGGCTGCATTATTATTTTGTTCTGGCTTTTTTCTAAACATGATAATCCTTCCAAAAACACGCTTAATGTCCTAGGGCCGGGGTACGCAAATCCCGGTCCTCCAGCTGTGGGGCAACTACAAATCCCATGAGGCATTGCAAGTCTCTAACAGCCATGACTCATAGAGGCAGGTACATGATACTTGAGGGTTTGTATTGTCACCACAGCTGGAGGGGCCTGAGTTTACCTACCCCTGTCCTAGGTTGACAATACTCACCTACTGCACTTTATCTATGGCAGAGCAGCATTGTCATTCTAGGACAGAAATTGTTTATAAGACTACCAAACTCCTCATCTATATAACATTGGGGGAGGTTTTCTGTAGCCCAGAGAGACTCTGGAACAGTGCTGATAGCAGTGCAGCAGAGGAAGAAAGAACAGAACACAGAGCAGCATTAGATTTCTCAATGTTAAGAAATAAAGGGCACCAAGCCAGAACGTGAAACAGTGCAAGAGCGCCTGTAATTGTTCACAATTTAATCAAACAAAAAATAGCCAAAACTTTTCAGGGCCTAACTCAAGAATGGCCAACAAGAGATCTGCCAACATAGTTAGTACAATACGAGGAGCCAGTACTTGCGTTCAAGTTGTCTAGGAAGATCAACAGTTAGTTTTACCCCTAATTCTTTTCTGCTTACTACTCCTATCCTCAGTGGTTCACCAATCCTTTTTCTTTTTTTTTTTTTGCATATCAGATCTCAAGGCCTTCCTGAAGATAATAAGCCCACCTACCTCCAAAAGCCATCAGTTGCTAAAAGGGGTAGAGCAGTACTCGGTAAAAAGAACTGCAGAACTACAAGCCTCAACTGTCTTATAAGGTTTTAGTTTAGAGACACTTTGGAACACTGCATTAGGCGTGTAGGGTGACTGGACTGTTGTAGATGTTCTGAGGGCAATACATCTACACTGCTAAGACTCCTAGAGAAAACAGATATAGCAAAGGGGATCTGTGACTAGCATGATAATCCTGATGACACTACACTGCAGTTTTCAACAGCCTCTGTTAGGGCCGCACCACCACTGCTAGGCTCCATAGTAGCCATGTATGCTGCTACGGCTATAGTTAAGCCACGGCTTGTAGCTTATGAGCATGCACATCTGTGGAAGAATATAAACATATGTACCTTCACAGTAATAAGTAACAAAGACATCCAGTGCCTATGGATCAGCAGTTAGTGACTAAAGCCAATTCTAGTGATCTACAATATTTACTAACTTAACTATAAGTAGATGAGTCTAATGCCAGCCATCAAACCTGCCCAGTAAATGTTTAATCAATTTTCACATTCTATGGTTAGTTTGAGTTAGCCACATCACTGACCCCTTCAACGTGATGAATAATTTAGGGATGTCACTAGGTCTAAGGTAATTAAACATGCTTCCATCGGCAAACAAAATGGCTGACTCTGCAGTTTCTAAAATTATTCTTATTGGTTAGCTGAAAAATAGTAATTGCTGGGTATTTGAGGTTTCCACAAGATTTAAATATGTCTGCCTCTTACCTGTAGATAATACATGCGCTGTTCCTGCATGTGTCGCAGTTTGCTGTGTCTTGCCCAGTTCGATATGATAGTCTGAAATGAAAACACAGCGACTTGTATTAAACTTCTAATTTGGTCTTCAGTATCGCACACATATATTTAATCTAATAGCGTAGTTAACCAAAATATTGCCACTAACAGGGTTATTCACAAAAGGGTGAAGAGTTTGGAGAAGGCAGGAGAAGTGAACAATCTAGGACAACATAGCTGATTTGGAAACATTCTCCAATTCAGCTCACTTTCCAAATCAGCTATTTTGGCCTAGATTGTTCACTTCTCCTGCCTTCTCCAAACTCTTCACCCTTTTGTGACTAACGCTGTAAGTATTACATACAAACCTGTAGCAAGGAAGGTCTTAATTTGGCCTTGGTCAAAAGTGTGGATGTTGAGCGTTTTGTTTTCTAGGACTTTTTATCATATGAGCTTGTGTTAACCAACCACATATCTTTATTTAATGAAGGACGGGGGGAGACAATTCATATAAGCTGAAACATTTCTGATATCATAATCCCCAAAGAATGATCAGCTGGGAACCATGTCTGGCCATGTCATATCTGAAATATTCCTAGTTATGTGTGTTTTTCCTTTTAACTCCCCCACAGCTTATTCAGTCTTCCAAACAAACAAATTCAAATACATAATACAAGCTATTATTGTGCCTTTAGTAGAGATTTTTTTTTTTTGGCCTGCAATTTTGCTTAAAGTAACCCATGCTATTCCTCTTGCTATCCTATCTCAACCTTACTTGTGCATAGGGACTCTTTATTTCTCCCTATCTTGCATGTAACACCTCTCTTGCAATCCCTAGATAGAAGATGTGAAAATTTTGTGCAAAAGTTCTGTTTAAAAAGCTTTCTGTTATCAGTCTGCCTTTCTTGATGGGCTAGAATGGATTCCCCCCCCCCCCCCTTCTGTACTTAAAGCCACTGGCATGCAAGTATGCAGATCATAAATGTCAAGAAGTTTTCTTTTCTTCCTTTTTTTAAAGAATAATTATACACAGAAGTTTTTTAACTACGTACTAGTCTTAGGTCATTAATTCAAAGTACTCAGCATGACAACCACGCAGTTAGCATTTTTAGAAGGAGAGTTAAGCAATGTCAGTCTTCTTGTTTCACTTATGACAAGTTTACTTTAAGAACTTAGAATGTAATCTGTACACTTATATTTGAATGATGTTAACATCTATTAATGGCAGTGTTCAGTTGAAGACAAATATTGATTAATCCACTTTGATAAAAGTCTACTAATATGGATAATATTGAATGGACATTTTTTCCATGCAGTATCTTTGTGTGCCCACATCAGATGAGCATAGAAATGAACGAGGATTGCTCTTCTCCACCACACAACTGTAAGGGAGAGCAATCAATCATTTTCCAAAATCACATTTTTGACTAACGCTCTGCTAATATCACCTGACATTTTCAAATTTGATCACTCTCAGCGTCACGTAATTAAATTGATTTTTCGCTGCAGCCCGTTGACAATAGGGAATCACGTAATAGCTTGAGGGGGAGATGAAGAACAGGTCAGTGTTTAGTGACCCAAAGCGCAGCTCTGAAATTCCCCGATCTAGTGTTCCACATATTTGCGTGCCTTTGAAGCAGGTGCAGCTTTGACTTCTGAAGGCCTTTTCATCTTTTTGTGATACAAAATGCCTTTGGAGTGGTTCCTCTTGCAGATGAGCACAGAGCAATGTATGCAGTAGGGTGATAACGGTACAGGTGCTGCAGGATAAGCAAGAGAGATTGGGACTTTGTTCTTCCTCTACAAGAACGTATGCATGCTGAAAGGGACGAGAACAAATCGCACAACTTCTCATCCATGTCTATCTAGGTCCTTACCGGGTCTATATAGAAGCCTGAATGGACAGATTTGGCAGCTGACTGCAACATTATCCAAGAGACTGATGTACAATGTCTTATCCACTCATGGTCATACACAATTAGATGTTTCTTAGATGTGGGACTGATTGAAGCAACACTAACCGGGCAGTGAAGGTAGTAAAGAATTCTGATCTAAATAAAATCTTTGTATATTTTGTAGGGATGCACCAATACCGGTATTTCAGTATCGAGTATGAGTACCGATCTTCTTTTTTTTCCGGTTCTCACCAATACAGTAATCCCATTAAGGAAGCCAGGCAGCGTGTAATGACGAGGTGACGAGAATGCATGGAGCCGGCTTTCTGGCCAATCAGGAAGCCGGGTGCCATTTCATTACACGGCTTCCTGATTGGCCGGGAAGCCAGCTCTATGCTCCCACGTCATGAGGTGACGAGGGAGCATGAAGCCGGCTTCCCGGCAATCAGAAAGCTGGGCGCTGCTTCATTACACGGCGCCCGGCTTTCTGATTGGCCAGCTTCCCAACCAATCAGGAAGCCGGGCAGCGAGTCATTACATGCTGCCCGGCTTCCTGATTGGCCAGAAAGCCGACTCCATGCTCTCTCGTCACAAGTGACGGGGAGCATGGAGGCTTCCCGGCCAATCAGGAAGCCGGGTGATACAGGAAGTATCGGACTAGGCATCGGAGCGAGTACTCGCCCAAATACCCGGCATTGTCACCGATACTAGTATTGTTATCTGTGCATCCCTAATAGTTTGTAATGGTAAAGTTGTTTAGATCTCCTAAAGTTGATGTAAACATTAGCTGAATGACATTTAGTTTGCTAAGCACTGTATATAATAATCAATGGCCATTTTTGCTTAAAAAATGGTGAAAACAATATTTTATTCATACTTTGTTGCATTTCAGTACTATCGGACTCCTGCAGTCTCTTTCCAACCACTTCCTGTGGCTCTCTAGTATAGGCTGCATGATATTTCTAATGGTTCTCATGGTTACAATGATAGGTCATGCCTGCATAATGTGTGTTAAAACAAGCACTCAGATTTTCAGTGAGATGCCTGTGTGACAGTATTACAATTAAGAGATAGGAATACAGTGTGGTTGTTCTGTAATAGAAACCGCCTGCACATTGACCTCCATTGTAGGATCTCAAGGTATTAAAGTGACATTAACCCCTTCATGACTGAGGCCTTTTTTTTCATTTTTTGTACCCATGTAAGTCACGAAGGGGTTAAAGTCAAAAGGTTAAGCTATTTCAAATGCAGTTTGAGTCACTTACAATGGATGCCGCTCCTTAATGTTTAAAAGTTCTAGATTCCTGTAGAATCAGCTGGTCCCTTAAGACCTGGACCTGATATTATTTTATGGTGGCTCCTTTCCCTTGCAGGGTCCTATGGAGCCACCCTTGTGTGTGCTAGTCAGCTGTGTGCGTATCCATAAACCTACAGGTATAGCAGGGCAAGCCACTTTCCTGCTCCCACATTCTTATTCCTCCCTTTTCCCTTCTCTGTGCTAGTAGATGGACAGCTGCTGTGGACTGCTCTGTCCCCAGGGCTGGATTTACATTCTCTGCTGCCCCAAGGCCAGGTTCCTCAATGTGCCCCCCTACCCGCCAACATCCCCCATGGAGAATGGCAGACCTGCAGGCTGCATACAAGTGATCTCGGCGACATCACCAGGATCACTTGTACAAAACAAGCGGCGACTTCCCCGCTGTACATTTAGCTCTGCTTGCCCAAAGCAGGGCTAAATGTAGAAAACTAGCCGCCTGGAACTGCATGCCCCGGGCATTGGGAGATGGGCATTCCACACTCCTGCTGCTCCTCTACTCCCTGCTGCCCCATGGTCGGTTGGCCTTGTGGGAAATCCGGCCCTGTCTCTCCCTTGTGATCTTGTAGTCAACAGGCAGTCCAGGGAAGCTGAGCTGAGGGTGTGGGAGCGCGTTGTTTGTAAACATTATGACTGCAAGTGCAAAAAATGAAATAAATACTTTACTGAGAAATGTATATTTGTTCGATCTGAATTAGATTGTAGTGATTGAAAGGGTCCCCCTTCAGGGCTATGAACATTGATAACCAGTATAATGAAATAAATATCTGGGTTACAATAGTCTAAAAAATAGTCAAATGTAAGTATATCTATATAATTCTAAAAATAAAATACTGAAAGTAAAAAAAATTAAAAATATATAACTAAAAAATTGATGAATAAGTCAGTAATTAAAATCCATAATAATATTAGTATATGTTTTACAATTCAATGCATAGCTCTGTAGTCATAAAATAAGAATGTAAATTAATTTATTTAAACTATGAATATATATTTTTTATTTAATATACCTCCTTCATAAATTAATTTAAACATATCATGATAGAGAATAGTGTTCTAGCCATGTGGTCCATAAAACTTAATCGTGGTAGCACATAGAATTTTGTATAACCAGAAAATATGATTTAATGATCCTATACAACATATCCATAAAAACTAACTGTGCCCCACCTTTGTTATCCATCACCACCTCCAGAATGGCTCACTCACCAGATTTGATAGACCTCACATTTTAAAGGCCATATGCACATTTTCACTATTATCTCCGGATCTCTCAAAGAATTAAAAAAAAAAAAAATCCTAATAAGAACACCCAATTATTTCACAACAGATCTCTCTTCTACCATTGCAACTCCACTTATATAAATTGGCTCAGTGTGGGAAGAATATACACATAACATACAATCAATAGTGTAATACTACTTTTTAAAAAACAAAAAACAATCAAAAACCCTTTAGTTGTGCACACTTTACACAAGTGCACTGAGCACTATGATAAACAGCATGCAAGTGCAGAAAAATTGTCATCCGTATAAAGTTTCACCACAATAGGAAATCTCTGTCTGCCTTGAGCTCTATTAGGGATAAATCCCGCGTTTGTCCCAGTTAGGGTAGGTACCATACAACAGTGCAGTGACATCACCTGCTAAATCTCACTCCATGCATTTGGCTTTAGGAGCACTACCACACTATTAGATTTCTATATGTTTATATCCTTTACACTCTGATTTAAGTTGGTGGATCCATCCTAAGACATTCTCCGTGTGGTGAATGAAACTAGGTTGCACAGAAAGATTGTGGACTTTACAATATTGTATTTACAGCGGTTTATCACGTATTAAGTGTTCATAAAA